CCCCCCCCCCCCCCCCCCCCCCAAGTTTGTAACATTAAAGTGAAAGACCCATAGCTAAAATAAGTGGATGGTTTCAAATATTTGGGATCAATAGTCACTCCCGACGGAAGATGTACAACTGATATAAAGACCAGGATTGGACAAGCAAAGACAGCATTTAAAGAGCTGCAATCAATACTTACCAACCAAAAAAATGTCAATAGTAACAAGAAAAAGAGGATAAGAAACATTTAAATGACCTAGCACATGTATCGTAACAAACGAATGCGACGCATGGACCATTAACAACATCATGAAAAACGATTGGATATAGGCCCTATATGTATACATGTCATTAAGTGAGGGGTTAAGCAAATTATTAAATAGATTAATTTATAAATATATCAATATCTTAACATAATGAAAGAAAGAATGAATAACATGACATGATCATGACATGGTGGATGAATGGACCGATGGCCAGTAGTAAATAAGTAAATGGACTGTTACATGAATGTATCGCAGGATTGATAGATGGAAGGAAAGAAAGATGACTGAATGGATGTATACTGGATTAAATACTAAGTAAATGAGCGAATGAATTGATTAAATATACATTTGGACCGAGCGTGGATTCCCAGCAACGTATGTAAACCACTCTTACTAGTTTCTAAAACGTCGAATCGATCACTCGATCAACTATATGAGAGATTTTAAACAGCACCGTCTTCAAATTTTTGGTCGTAAAGATCTACTTATCTCATTTATTTATCGGCGCCGGTTATATACAGCACAGAAAGTAAACAGAAAATATTCGTTCAAATTTCATTTTTCGGGTAATATGGAACGATGTTCTCTGGTATTTCTCTAAGTTATAATATTTAAAACGTTTGGTCGGCTAAATTGTGTCAAAATTTTGACTTCCAATGTATCTTTACGATGGTAAGCAAACACAGGGGCGGATCCAGGCGGATTTGAAGGGATCCGGTTTTTAGGAAGACAGGCCGCGGATGCAACCACGACCCCCCCCCCCCCTTTGCGTGGGGTTCGGGGCCCGCTGAAGGGCCCCAAATTTTTTTGGCATATAAGAGGGCGAACGGTGCCATTTGGTATGATTTAGAACTATGATTTAGCTAGTTAAGTTTCTAATTTCAAGAGGGACCATCGGCGTGAATTCTTTTCAGAAATTGAAAAGGGGGCCAGGACCCCCCTGACACCCCCTCTCGAAATCCGCCACAGAAACATAAGATAGTTGAATAGCTTGATTTCCTTTCTTTTTCATCTCTGTGAAGAAACACTAATACATAAGGGTAAATAATTATACAAACGTATAAAGGACTTTAAATTGTCGAGTTGAGAAACTATTGGATTATTTAAGTTTAGTTCACATCTACATGGTAGAGTCATACGCGAAGATTCAGAAAATTAATCAACAAGCGTAGGGATTTGTTCAATTAATCTATATTCAAAATTAGACTCATCAGAAGTACACCACCTCAATCTATAGATCTAGAGCGATTTGAGCCAGGGTCTTAAAGTAAGATCATTAGCCAATGAAAACACCACTATGACGGCGCCACGCAAACGCATCTACCTGTTTTCAATAGCGTTAAGTCTAGTGTGTTCACGCTGGTGCATTGAATGGGAACTCCAGAGTTTGACCAATCCTCGACGCTTCATCCAATCACCGCGGTCTATCGACCACCGCATTGATCACTCTGCAGATGTACCGGATTCCAGGTAGAAGAGTACCGTTGTGTTGTGCCGTGAAGGTTCACGTGCCATTTTAAGTGACGTAGACATAGTTAGCTAATTGGACAGACTGAAAAGACGACCTTGGGTCATTGGATGTCTCAAAGTAAGTATAATGAGCAGGTTTTTATTCATCTGTACGTGTTTGAATCAACTGCAAGGCGCAGTGGGCCTATGAATTTTAGCTAAGTTAACAAACGAGGCACTGATTTTGAATGACATAAAATTGCCTTTGGTTTGATATAACGTGCTGATTAGACACCCTGGGTTTCAGAGATTCCTAGAAACTCAGCTCTCCAGTAAGTATATGCTGATAATACCAAGTTGGGTTTACATTGATCCCCGAAACTCAGGGTGTTCTACATATAATTACTTCACAACCCGACCCTGCCATATATTTATTACGTTATATGGTTACCTGACCGGATAAGATAAGAGGCACAGGGTAAATGCACAGTGTAAATGGACATAAATCAAGGAAGACGTGGGGAGGGGTGGGCTTTCTATGCCCCTCTCTCTCTCTCTCTCTCTCTCTGTATCATGTAAGGGGGTTAAAGACATTCTAATCGTCGATAGGAAATTAAAGGGAGTTGATGATAGATACTTCAGCCACCTGCAAATTTGTGTCTGCGTGCTTGCGTGCGTCTGTGTGTTTGGGGCTTGGTGTTTGTGGGGAGGGGGGGGGGGATCGCCCATTATCCACCAGCGATGATCACCTACGGCGCATTTGTATGTAGTCGCCTAATTTACCCTCGTATTTCATGCCACTAGCATTAATGAATCCAATTAACTATCTTGATCAATATGTCCATGTAAGAGTCCACGTCCTTCACAATTAATAAGGCCTACTCGTAGTTATCTATACGATGCCTGACATGACCAGCCACTAGTTTCCAGAGATACCATATTCAACACAGGACTATGGCTGGTGCATATGTTTGGTATGTATTGTAATATGTACACAACAGCTAGCAACCAACGCAAGCCGAAAGGTACACAAAATGTAGGGTCTTTGTAGACAAATGGTCACATGCGACTAAAGCATGCAGGCAGGAATGAATATGACATATATGACATATATGTGTGTGTGTGTGTGTGTGTGTGTGTGTGTGTGTGCTCTCGCGCTCGCGTTATACAATATGAAAAAGAAGAATTTTGAATTGTTGAAATACACTACCGCAGCGATGATTAAAAGCTAAAACTGACGATGTGAATTGAATGCACTAAAGAAAAACTACAAGGTACTGGGGAATACTTTTTATTTACTGGAATGCTGGGTATACCTATCTATCTATCTCACAAGCGCGCACTCACACACACGCACATGGACGCACACACATCTACGAAATGCATTCCATTCCATCACATGTAGGCTACTATTAAAACATTTGTTTAGTAAAAAAAATCGTGCGTTGCAGTGGAAACTGGCGAATTAAACTCAGTACTGGCGTGAACAGTATCTTGAACACGTTCAGATTAGGTGTGCTTCACCAAATAACACGCTTGTTTGCCGATCAGCATGTGTAATATGTAAAGAAAATACATGTATACCTGTGCTAAATTGGGGCTCATACATGTATCTATCAAAGGCTTAATGCGAGCACCTGTCGGGGTTATCTTTTGTGTTAATTATTGCTAGTAGCAGCTTATAATAGGCCTCTCGTTTATGTTGTATTATATACACGATTTATGAAGAGACAACCCCATACTACAATTAGTAACAGCGGTTGGTGTTAATATGTGAAAGTGATACACACAGCATGAACGGGAGTATGTTCTAGCAGCACGAAATATAAAGCATTATTGTAGTATAAGAATAATAGAAAATGACATCATATTCAGCTTATTGTGTGTGTGTGTGTGTGTGTGTGTGTGTGTGTTAATTAATGAAAAATGGTGCCATTTGACGTGCTGGATATTTGAAATAATTTCTAGACATATTAGCATTTTTAAAGAAAATGCCTATGCACTTACGGTATGTACATTTGCGGCTTAGTTTTTTCATTTAGTGATATAAATGGATAATAGGTGTCATGTTGAATCAGGAACATCGATCCTAGAACTAAAGTTGTCCTCTAAGCTCAAAAGATGGCGCTGCGTGTCTCCTGTGAGCGTAAGAAATTTTTGCAAGCTGTTGGCATTGGATAATAAAATACTTGGAAGACATAAACTCCTGTCGTTTACTTGTCATTTACTTGAAACGACCACAATTTAAGTGTGAAATAATGTCTTGTTTTGAACAAGCTTGGTTTTTAAAAGAGAATGAAATACTACTTATTCCTTGCCAGTTTGATACCGTAGTAGCTCCGTACCTGTAGTAGCCTGCCTACATAATTGTAGTACTTATTGATTAGATTTGAACAAGCGCTTTTCTTCTTTTTTATGTGATCAGCTTTAAAAAAAACGAATCGTGACAGGTTATTAAAGAGGGATGATCATAATCCATCTTCGCATCTTATCAAAATTTGCCATCTGCTCGCCATTTTTAATGACAAGATAGCAGACATTTTTCAAAGCCATTCTTATGTCTTTCTGGCCAATTTAAATTTAGTTTGACTCATCACAATCTTAATCCATTATAAGCCGAACTAGCGTTAAATTAAAAGTTATAATAAAGTATATGCCACATTGTTGAAATGAATCGAAAAGACGTGACTGGGTAGGATAAGACAATTCGATCATTATCTTGCGAGGCGAAATTATTTTTTATTCAAGTTCATATGTGAATGTTTCAGCACACTAGGTGGACAGTGATTTTGTATTAAAAATAAACATGAAACATATATATGGGAAGACGTAATACTGGTCCACTAAAGTTAAACAAACAAATTTTAAACAAACCTTCAAAAACAAGATAATGAAGAAAATAAGTATTGGCTCTTACGTTGAAACGGAGATCACGACGGTTCGACCTTATTCCAATTAAGGCCCTCTTCTAGTGAACTGATGTTGAGTTGTCACCGGTGTCACGTGGTGACAGTCTGACACCGGTGACACTTTAAGTCCTAAATCCTAATATCACTTTATAAGTCATCCACAATTGTCCGTTTATCAACTTGACTCTTTACTTTATATTTCAGGCATGAGCGTATCTTCGGGCCTAGCAGCAATGACCACGGGAGCAGAGCTCAGGGAGCGCGGCCTTGACACCGTCCAGCCGACACCGTCACCGCCTTCAGAGAAACTCATGGATAAGTGGAAAGCGCACTACCAGAAACGAAAGACCTACCAGCCCAGATTCTATCCATACCTGCTCCGCTTCGGCCTTCCATTTTGGTTCCTCAGCGCCATGTGCGGGGGGTATATCATCGGGGCCTTTTACGTTTCCCCCTTTTTGTATTCAGAATACGGACCGTCTGTGAACTTGTTTAACTTTTGCCTGCAGACGTTCATGTTGGTGCAAATACTTATCAACTGGTTTTTCGTAAAGACTGTGACGTCATTCTATAGGCCCAGTGACGTAGAATGTGCAGGGAATGATGTAACAGTTTTAGAAACGCCCGTCCACCTAGGACCAGCAAAGAAGTGGGAGAAATTGGACAAAGAGAAGAGGAAATATCTAGTCATCGTACAAATAGGAAATAGGCAGGAATTGTTTCCATATTGGGGCCCGAGACCGTGTCCACGTTGTAATCGCCCGCGCCCGCCTCGGGCTCACCACTGCCCTATATGTAATGGGTGCATTTTAAAACGAGACCACCACTGTTACTTTACAGGGAGTTGTGTCGGACTCAGAAATCAGAGGCATTTTATCATGCTAGCGGCCTGGTCTTTTGTGACCTTACTATATTCTTTCATTCACGTCCTAATTTACATTCCATATTTAGTAGAAGATATTTCTTACTGGGACCTCAATATCGTTGTGGCACTGATCAGGTTTATTTTCAGATATATAAGTTTGTATAAACTCATAGAGATATCGTTAATTTACTCTATGATGATAATAGGCTTTCTGGCTGGCGGATTTCTGAACGAACAAGTAAGGATAGTACGTAAAGGCATATCACAATACGAGTACGCATTTGACTTGAAAGTGATCAACAGAAACTCTACATCACGCAATATCCAATCCGTCTTCGGTGACTACTGGGCCATAAATTTACTATTCCCTGCCCATTGGCTGTTTCCCAACGATATAGATGATGGTGTTTCGTGGCCAGGCGTAAAAGTAGACACCCCGGATCTAACTGATTTCTGCGCCGGTGAGGAGAGCTCGGGGACTGTGATTTGATGTCAGAAATTATTGTTATCTGCGATTGTGAGTAACGTCATTGGCTAAAACATTTTTGATATATTTGCAAAGCTGTTTTTTAATTGCGGTTGGTTTCTTTCCAAAAAGGAGGACACCATAGCATAAAAAGCAACTGTAATGCAGCATATGTTACACAATAGGTGACCATGTGCCTTATGAAGGTACAAATAACAATGTACTTACTGGTGTCTCAAAGTCAAGAGCAAAAAACAGCATAAGAGCATCAAAGCCAAAAAAAAGAGGCCGATTTATTTCAATTCGCACCTTATATACATGTTCCGATAGTACACGTTTACCAATCAGAACCAATTATACAATGAACAGTTTTACCTTTAAGTTACCATCACAGGAGAGTTTCGAACTTGTGCACCGGACAACACTTTACTTATAGAGACATCTACCGGTAGCAATACAAAACAATCTCAACTAACACACTACATCGTCACACCCATTACTTGTGTGACTCAGAAAGTCATTTTTGGTGGAAAGACCAAGCCATTTATGTTAAAGTTTGGTTAAAAAAGTCACCATCACCAAATTAATTAATTAATTAATACGTAAAATGCACTGTTGTTACTGTGTTGATATACCCGTGTCTCACAGTAGAATTTTTCCTTAACTAACAGTGAGACTGTTATGGATCTTAACGCAGTACTGTAAGAACACTCAAAATACGATCAGAATTAGCAAGGCACGCAAGGGGTGCTGTTAAATGTAAAAAACACATTTTGGGAATAAAAATAAATAAATATCCATGGCTCCATGCTCTACATAAACTTGTAAAACTATGAGGAGGCCATAAATATTCACCATTGTCGCAATGAGGAAAAACGGATGAACATTGAAAGTGAGTGGTGTTGAAGCAAGTGCGACCATTGAAGTACAACTGGAATACTTCAATGATATGACCGATTAATAACATGCATATTCTGTGTCTTTGGTGCTGCTTTTGGTTGTACCTACTTTCGTGACCTACTTTCCTGCCCCATTGACATACAGCTTAGAATGCCAGCAGAAAAATCCGTTCAAACATCATTTTCGGGTAAAATTAAACAATGCCTTTTGGTAATTCTTTTAGTTATACTACTTGAAACTATATGCTGGCATTTGGTTGGTTTTTGTGACAAAAAATTGACTTTGTATGCATCTTTAAATAACCCTCTAAACTTAGCTTTGGTTCGACCAAATGCATACATATTAATCCATATTACTAGTAAGTACTTCAAAACTGATGTCAGGTTGCTCTCTTTCTCAAGTACAACATCTGCTTTTTTCACAGGAAGATAAGAGTGTCACGACTCAGACACACACACACACACGCACACCCAGCTCCAAAAGTATATATACCCTCTACCACGCATGCATTGACGAGGTTCTTTTCATAAAGGACAGACAGACTTAAAACGAAAAGTTTTGCTTGCTGAATACATGTAAGTACCAGGTTTCATGTGATCGCTTTTCAACCGACAAAACGATTTTTCTCACCTGGCTTCAAGATAATGTTGGAGAAAAGAAACTGCACCTGCAAGTAATGTAAGCATACCCCATCGCCATTTACGATGTCAAAAATTGCACGGAAAATTGTGTACGAGTGCGCGTGTCAAATGTACCAGTAATCAGGGCTTAACATGTTTCTTTCATAATAAGACGAACATTTTGCACGTAATTTGGCTTAAACTACTTCTTTACATAGAGGTGCAAGGGAAAATTAAACTGTTTTTATAATAATAATAATAATAATTATTATTATTATTATTATTTGATAATACGCCACTAGTAATAATATGGTAACAATTTTCTTTAGTGGATGCACTGCGAGTGGAGCATTTGCTGAAAATGACCAGTTAATTCCATCAGTTCTTTAAGCTTTAAAGTACGGTTTCCGAAAAGCATTCAAAGATGGAAACTTGTTTACTGAAATGGTTTTCCGAAATTTAACGAATAAGTGAATGGATTAATTAAAGCTATAACACAGTTTATGACGTTTATTGCATATACACGTATTGCGTTTCAGTTGTATACCCGCGTGTGGCAATCTACAATGAAACGCCAATACCTTTTCCTGCTGGTGTGCCTGGTGGTTTTTACGATGGGTAACACATGATTTCTGTGGTTTTAAAATGTAATTTTTTTTTTTATCTTTACGATTGTCAATTTAAATTCTTCTACATTTATATATCATATCGTATTAAAAGGCAGTATTTTCAAGACAATCGTACATCCAGAGCCAATATCCATTTCTAAATGGCTCACTTTTCATGCTAGTAGGTTTTAACATACTATCTATACTACCAGTAAGTGTAGGTGGCTGTGCACAACACATAATGTACGTAAAAGAAGAATAATTATACATGTAAGCAATAGGCTTGAAATATTCAACGTCCTCATTCAAAATCCATGAAAATTGCGCTGCGCAACGTAAACATATTATTTTATTATTTTAGATGCTGTCTGTGCATCGCCTATTTCGGAAAATGTTAGTCGTGATCGCCGATTCACCTGCGATATTTGGGGAAATGGAGTTTCGACTACTGTCTGTGCGACCTACTGCAAGCTCCTTGGCAAAAGCACTGGCTATTGTGATAAGAGCACTTGCATATGCACAACTTAAATGTAGGTTACATTTTCTTATCTTACGAGCTGATGATAAATGGACCTAAGGGTTTCTTGGGCTTAGTATCTTTATTATACCTGGCAAAGTTCTCTAAGCACAAAAAGTAGAGCATATATTACGCAGACCTCATAAAGGTGTACGTTTTGCTTACGGTTTCGAAATAAGGTTTGTTTTCGTGAAAAAATCTTATATCATGTAATGAATGATATTTTCAGTTGAATTTATATCTAGGTATTGTTTGTTAACAAAGGTAATAAAGTCACCCAGTTAATTTTGTTGTCCTCATTATTTTTGATATGATAATTTCCAATCTATGTTTTTTTTTTTTTTTTTTTTTGTTTCAGCTGAAGAAGATATCCATTCGAAGAGAATGCAGCTCTGCGGCAAAATAACGGATTATATCGCGTGTATTTGAAATTGAATGAATAAAATGTTGCCGTTGCATATAACGTTTTGAGATTTTAAATTAAAACTATTCAGCCCCTCAGTGATTATTCTATACGTTCTGATATAGCATATTTTCCTAATTGAAAGGCAATTCAGCGTTTTCAACAGGTTGATTGGAGGTCCCTCGAAAAGCACAAAACCATTGATTGGTATACGGACATAAAAAAAATTAAAGTGCGCGACAAGTTTCCAAGCATCCTATCAATCTCTAGCGGTCAGATCGACATGTTGCCGATATTTTGACTAAGGCATAAAGCATTTTGTCTTAGTTAACACCCCCTCCCTTTTCAAATGGAGTCTACGTGTTTGCGAGTCGGTGTGTTCAAGCCTTTCTTACACCATATTTATGGCGGTATAACTGGGATGGAAATGAAACGTGTGGGGGCGTGACGATTTCCAGCAATATCATTGGTCCTTATCAGTAGAGAGCTAAAAACAAAAGAACCCTAATTATGTTAAAACAACGTGACTTAGCAGAAACGAGCCAATCACAAAATACCTGCCCATAACACATGAAATAGGTATACAGAGAGATTTTATAAGATTTTCGCGTGCTGGCGTGCTGTGAGAACGAGTTTGCTGTCAGTACACGAATTTTACACATGATTTTTGAGTTTACTTTCTACGACGAAAACATGTTAGTCTTTGCTTTTTTTTTTTTTTTCATTAAACCCAAGTATTACAAGCGCGATGGAGGCTATATTGTTTTGATTGTTACGACATGTTTTGGCTCACATTTATGCCAGCTTTTATTCACAAGTTTGCAATATGTCAACTCGAAAATGGTGAATTGACAGCTGATTTTTTAAAATGAAAACTAGTCTTGATATGGCGCACGAATGTATAAAAGAACTTCAGTGTAATAACTGGTCTCTTAGTAATAGTCTCTTAGAATATCATCAGCAGTTTTACAAGTTAATAATAATAACAGCCTGTTTTAATCAATAGTTAAAACAAGTTAATTTGAACTTTGATATCGTATATTAATATATTATATTAATTTTTGCACTCCGATATTTAAGTGTCCATCGTGTCGCCCTCGTTGAGGATAGCTCAGCTGATTGCACACCTCAGGTAGAGGTTCCACTCACATTGTTAGCCTATCTTTCTCTGTTACTGGGATGTTATTTCAATATTGTTGAGATTTCTTTTCAAAGTCTCAACTATCTAGCATCATAAAAATTCAAATTTTTCTTGAATTTAAAAATGTCAGATTATTATATAGTCCTTCAAACATTTCAAAATCTGAACAAAAATTTGATCCAGGTGCCAGTTACGATGACATTTCTCAAGTTGTGACAGCTAGAGGGGTCCATTCAAATGTTAACTGAGGAAGTCTACCTGTACATGTAAAAGCATTTAAAACAATGCCAGGTAACCAACCCCGCAGCAGCGGTTAAAATTATCGGTATCTCGGTTCCTTTCCTTCTAACGACAAAGTGTTTAGGGTGACTGCTTGGAGCAGGAGCATAAGACCCTTGGCTCAGCAAGCGGTACATTTAAGTGGTTAGTTCACTCTTAATAGTCATTTATATTATAGGGAGCCCCAGCGTTCGACGCTGCCAATTGCAGAACTGATTAACTGAACTAAACAAAAGGGGGTGGACTTGTGTAGAAAATGTGGAAGAGAATAAAATCTCCTTAATAGCATAAATAGAATAAAATCTCCGTAATAGCATGTCAGAGGCTGCTTAAGAGGACCGGCCAGTTTAGTTTACCGTTAGATGTGCAAAGAACCATAGGGTTTCAACGGAAAAACAGGAAATGATACAGTTGACCACGAACGCTTTATAACCGTAATCATGGGAATTAAAACAAGTTCAGTTTAAAAATTGAAAATAGATGCCCGGCCTGACCTGTCTGTCCTAGGATTTGGTGAGTGATGAGATTACTGGGAATTCTATATTCCTGGAAAAATAACATTTTAATTTGACTCGTTTGTGAGTGATTTTACCACGGGGTTTCCGATGTATACAATTATATATAAAATATGCCCGGCCTGACCTTACCTGACCTGTCTGTCCTAGGAATTGATGAGTGATGAGATGGAAGATTACTGGGAATTCTATATTCCTGGAAAAATAACATTTGAATTTGACTCATTTGTGAGGGATTTTACCACGGGGTATCCGATGTATACAATTATATATAAAATCTATGTTTTGCCAGACTTTTTGTACAAGTAAATTAAATAATAAATATCATAAAAGGAAATTATTCTAAATGTTTCAGGAGGGGTGTGGTGCGAAAGAAAAGAAAATATATCTACGCTTTGCTTGACGAATTAGACAGAAAGTAGAAGGTGATGGCTTGCATTTGTCTCCTTGCACTTTGAATAATTTCTTTTTGGGGGGGGGGGGGGAGGAGGGGGGAATAGGAGTTTACCCCTTGTGTCTCCCTCCCAAAACCAGCCGATCTGCCATTCAGTTAAAATTCACCTTGATGAAGTTGAGATATACAAAACCTACTTGTACGTGATTTCATGATATATCATTGAAAGTGAGTCGTATTTTCGTGTACTGTTTTCTTCTTTGTGTAGATCATCCCTCCCCTTTTGGAGCCTCAGTTCAACTCAATGTAATATGAATGAAAGGGAGAGAAGTTTTATGAGGGAATGGACAAAAATTAATACAGTCTTGTGCATTACCAAATACCCCTTATATTATTTGAGAGGAGAGTGACCAAGACCATGGGTGTCAGGGGTGTGTAGGCCTACTATGTGAGGCTTCTATGAGACTTTCATAGCACTCCTTGCTCACCGTTATAAACAAACAATGGCTTTGCCTGAGATAAATGCTCCTGTGCAAAATGTATTAGCCGTACTCTGTATATTGAAATGTTATGACAGGGTGCCCTTTACTTTTTACTCGAAGTATGGCGCTACACCTGTCCTTTGAAATTTTTATGCCCCACAAGGGTGATGTGAAAAGTTACCGATGATGATATTTATTCCATGAATACCGGTATAATCTATATCGGGATAAAGGCCTATTTGTTAAATACTAATGGGCGCAAAAGAAATTCCATTCTTACGAAAGATTGCAAACTTTATGCTTTTTTATGGTTAAAACCACTAAAATGAAGAAAAAAATGAATTCTGAAGGATTTGGTTCCTTTCACGGCATTTTATGCCATTTCTGTTTATGATTATAGATTAATGGGAGAATCATTTACATTTACACTCATTTACATCTATTTGTATTGTAATATTCAATGAGCACAGATCTTATACTAGTAACGTTGTATGAAAGTTGAGGGCCTTTAAACGTAACAAAAATGACAACCTACGCATTCCTCGGTAACTAAATATAAACTGAGAAGGACACACCAGTAAACATGTCGGTCATCAACCTGACCTCATAACCTAACTCACACCAAGCAGGTGAGGCAGATGTACGGCTTCACATTTCATCTAGTCTCGATTTCTCGGAAATACGATGGAACAGATTTCAGGCTATTTCAAATGTGAGGTTGTTAACGCTGTTGGATTTGTTTTACTTAGTGACAACTTCGCATTTCTAATGAAGTTCTAATGAAGTTCGCCGATGATACAACCTAAGTCGGTCTGATCAAGAAGTTGTAGAGAGACAACTTCTTGGTCTGATACATAACAATGTTGAGACTTCGTATAGGCAGTCGGTGACAACTCAATTAATTGGTGTACAGACAATGACTTGATACTGAATGTGAGAAAAACAAAAGAAACGATTGTAGACAATATAATTCCAATAGAAATTAACGGCAAAACTGTCAAACAGGTCTGTGAATATTAATCACTGGGTGTCCAACTGAACAATAGATCGACTAACCTGGAGTGAAAACACCATGAAATTATTGAAAAAGGCAAAACATCGAATGTACTTGTTCAGGAAATTGAAAGCTTTTACCAGGAATGAGTCTATTTTTACGAACTTGTATAGGTGTGTTTTAGAAAGTATTTTAACTTATGCAGTAACTGTTTGGTATAGGCGTGCAACTGTAGAGGATAAAAACCAACTGGAAAAGATTACATGGACAATTTAAACGGCAGGTACGTAATTGAAACGGATCTTATCCCTATTTATTCCATTTATCGATAGATTTTTTTTTTAATTTTCACCCAGTTACTCAAGGTTTTTAGTTTTTAAGTGTTGAAAGCGACTTTTATCTAGCTTTTATCCTTCAGGAGTAACTCTTTTTAACACTAATACGTAATTTTATTTAAGTACATTTAAATAGTTTTATTCAACAATGGCGCGATCACAGGGCAAAAAATTCCCAATTTTAGACATTTGTATTTTATTGGTTTGATAAATTATTATCTATCTATTAAATAAATTATTATCTAAAAAGTATGCACCAGAATGCATCCTCTACCAGGGCCACGGAGAGTATTTGTTCACTAGATATTTCTGAGCTGTTCGACCAGAATCGTTGATAAATTAAGGACATCATCACTCAAGTGACCTCTTGGCTGTTGTTTAAATTTTAATCTTTTTCTAAGAAACATGGGCAGTAAGAATTTTCCCAGAGCCGCAACAAAGAAATCGTGATGCACCTTGTTTATACAATCAGATAGTATAATCAGAAAGTTTTCAAACAGTCACGACACAAGTGCTATATAAGACAGATAAGTTTGCTTGTTTTCCATCACTATTGTTCAGCGATAGAGATTCCCACCTTCAGCTACTATAGCGCCGGACGTTCCTCGAAGGTGAGAGATTTTCTTCGTGTTCGTATCGTAATACTTTTATCGGGCGTTTAAAACTTTACACATGTAGTTGTTCATATATACAAGGGTTTGCATGCACTCCAGAATTAATACGTTACACGTTAAAGCCGTCAGTGACAAATTCGTCTCAGTTGTTGTCACAAATATTACGTGACTCCACTTTCAGTAGCTGAATGAAGCGCTGATGAAATGTTTCTGAAACTTTGGCGTCGAATTTTGTCGTTAAATTTAATTTTGATAACGTTAGACTGTTTTTCCTTTAATGTTCACTATCAACTCATTCTTAGACATTTATTTAAAACACTTTATCTCACCGGTATAATGCGATCTAGAAAAATGTTTACCCGATTGGTAATAAAAAAGGTTTTAAGCGTGACATAACCAATTCAGATTACAAGTTTAGCTTTATTTATTTTATGAGAATAATTTGTTATACTGTAAAGAATGTCTTTGTACGGCTTAAATGTAATTTTTGTAATTTTAAGTATTATAAGTACAGTTTATATCCTAATCAAGATGCTGGGAAAATTGCGTTCTATTAACCCGTCTTCGAGTTCTGAATCTTAGCTTTTACCTTTACCAGGGAAACGTAGGAGCCCCCAATTCCACTATAGGGGAGACCGGGGTTAGTTGGCCCAGTTAGACACTTTTGGCCTTGTAGAACCAACTAGGAATGAGTAAGAGTAACAAAACCGGTTTCAAAGTAAGCCCCATGAACTAAGCTACGTATGCAACGTCATTATTTTTCAAATATGCTGCCAGTTGGCTCACAATTTGACAAAAATCGCAGTTGACGTCAGGGGGGCCAACTTGCCCCGAAACGGGGCAAGTTGGCCGTCCAACACTTCCTTAGCATTTAAGGCTACGGTCACTTTGCAAGAGCATGTGGTCAATTTTTTTTTACCTCGTAGTTACTTTTTCATAAATTGACGGGGGGCCAACTTACCCCGGGGTCCAACTAGCCCCGGTCTCCCCTCATCTAACACGTAAGACGGACACTTTGCATACTGTATAATGGGATTGCATGTAATTTTGACATGCAGGAGAAAGGAGAGAGTAAATCATTAATGTTTTGTTCAATCAAAGCGCCACCAGTCATATTATAGAAACTACATGTATTTCTTTGTTGGATGCACTGTGAGTGGAGCAGTTGCTGACAATGACCATTTAACGCCCTCAGTTCCTAAAGCTTGGCACCATGGTATCCCAAATTGCATGCAAAGCTGGAAACTTTCACACATTGAAATGATTTACGGAAATGTAAGGAAGAAATGAATGGATTTATTAAAGGTAAAATCAGTTTAGGGCGTTAATTGCATATACACGTATTACGTTACAGTTGCTGTATACCCACGTGCGACAATTTACAATGAAACGCCAATACCTTTTCCTGCTGGTGTGCCTGGTGATTTTTACAATGGGTAACACATGATTTCTGTGGTTTTAAAATGTTTATTTTTTTATTTTACGCTTGTCAATTTAAATTATTCTACATTTATATATCATATCGTTTTAAAAGGCAGTATTTTCAAGACCATCGTACACCCAAAGCCAGTTTCCATTTCTAAATGGAGTACCCTTCATGCTAGTAGGTTTTAATATACTTTCTAAACTACCGGTAGTTGAAGATTGCTTTGCACAACACTCACTATACGTAAAGGAAGAGTAATTTGTAGATGTAAGCAATAAGCTTGAAATGTTCAACGTCCATGCAAATATCGCTGCGCAAACGAGACATATTATTTTATTCTAGATGCTGTCTGTGCATTGCCTGTGTCGGATGATGTTAGTCGTGTTAAACGTTTCACCTGCGACTTTATAGCGTACTTTGGAAGTGGAGCTGCTACTGTTGCTTGTGCGCTCCACTGCAAGGGTCATGGCAAAAGGACTGGCTATTGTGAAAGGAGTACTTGCATTTGCACTAATTAAATGTAGGTTACATTTTCTTATCTTACGAGCTAATGATAAATGGACCTAAGGGTTTCTTGGGCTTAGTATCTTTATTATACCTTGCAAAGTTCTCTAAGCACAAAAAGTAGAGCATATATTACGCAGACCTCATAAAGGAGTACGTTTTGCTTACGGTTTCGAAATAAGGTTTGTTTTCGTGAAAAAATCTTATATCATGTAATGAATGATATCTACAGTTGAATTTATATCTAGGTATTGTTTGTTAACAAAGATAATAAAGTCACCCAGTTAATTTTGTTGTCCTCATTATTTTTGATATGATGATTTCCAATCTATGTTTTTTTTTTCAGCTGAAGAAGATATCCATTCGAAGAGAATGCAGCTCTGCGGCAAAATAACGGATTATATCGCGTGTATTTGAAATTGAATGAATAAAATGTTGCCGTTGCATATAACGTTTTGAGATTTTTAATTAAAACTATTCAGCCCCTCAGTGATTATTTTATATGTTCTGATATAGCATATTTTCTTAATTGAAAGGCAATTCAGCGTTTTCAACAGGTTGATTGGATGTCCCTCGAAAAGCACAAAACCATTGATTGGTATACGGACATAAAAAAAATTAAAGTGCGTGCCAAGTTTCCAAGCTTCCTATCAATCTCTAGCGGTCAGATCGACATGTTGCCGATATTTTGACTAAGGCATAAAGCATTTTGTCTTAGTTAACACCCCCTCCCTTTTCAAATGGAGTCTACGTGTTTGCGAGTCGGTGTGTTCAAGCCTTTCTTACACCATATTTATGGCGGTATAACTGCGATGGAAATGAAACGTGTGGGGGCGTGACGATTTCCAGCAATATCATTGGTCCTTATCAGTAGAGAGCTAAAAACAAAAGAACCCTAATTATGTTAAAACAACATGACTTAACAGAAACGAGCCAATCACAAAATACCTGCCCATAACACATGAAATAGGTATACAGAGAGATTTTATAAGATTTTCGCGTGCTGGCGTGCTGTGAGAACGAGTTTGCTGACAGTACACGAATTTTACACATGATTTTTGAGTTTATTTTCTACGTCGAAAACATGTTAGTCTTGGCTTTTTTTTCATTAAACCCAAGTATTACAAGCGCGATGGAGGCTATGTTGTTTTGATTGTTACGACATGTTTTTGACATACAAATCAGATTGTTATGGGCTTTGTAAAATTGGATATTAGCCACGTGGTTTTGGCTCACATTTATGCCAGCTTTTATTCACAAGTTTACAATATGTTAACTCGAAAATGGTGAATTGACAGCTGATTTTTTAAAAAATGAAAACTAGTCTTGATATGGTGCACGAATGTATAAAAGAACTTCAGTGTAATAACTGGTCTCTAAGTAATAGTCTCTTAGAATATCATCAGCAGTTTTACAAGTTAATAATAATAACAGCCTGTTTTAATCAATAATTCAAATTTTTCTTAAATTTAAAAATGTCAGATTATAATATTGTCCTTCAAACATTTCAAAATCTGAACGAAAATTACGATGACACTTCTCAAGTTGTGTCAACTAGTGAGGGGTCCATTCAAATGTTCACTGAGGAAGTCTGCGTGTACCAACCCCGCAGCAGCGGTTGAAATTATCGGTATCTCGGTTCTTTTCTACGGTGGCTCTAACGAAAAAGTGTTTTAGGTGATATTCACAAAATACTCGTGGCAGTTTTATCTTTGCCATTTACTCCTCATTGCAATTACTACTATCAATTAAAATGAGAAAACAATAAAATGACGGCACATTTTTATTAATGAAGTTTCCAGGTGCATTTACCTGAGCGTTTAAAGTTGGGGATAGAGCGACACATTTTGTTGTAAAGCAAACGACTTACATGTACACTTCCACTAATTACAGATAATAATTAAAACGGAATCAAACTAGTAAAAGGATAGGGAGTTACTGAGTGTAAGTTAAGTTTCATCAAGAGTCAACAAGCGTAGAACATGTTTTTAGTGTCATAAAAAGATGGAAAAGGAACGGGAGAAAAGTCTGATAATCAGGAGATTCTTAGTCTGAATCGGGAGGTCGGAAATATAGTCCAAAATCGGGGGACCCCCGACGAGATCGGGATTGTTAACGTGTGTGAATTTCTTGAGATTTGAAGACGTTGGTATCAAATATAACGATAGGCTAACCAATCAATAATACCCGACGGCAGTTTTTTTTTTCTGGTTTCCTTTTTTATGATATCTTTTATGATATCACCTGTGTCTGTCGTCGTCACTCTCGAAGATGACACGATAAGTACAAACCGTTTGACATTATGTCTTTAAACCCACAGAACCGATGAATATTTATAAAATACAGGTCGAATTTTCAAAACAGCAAATCACCACTTTCCAGAGGTTATGCTATTTTTTCGTATTTTCAGCACACGTTTATGCACAAATTGGCGCAAACGTTACCGATCAGTATTATATATATATATATATATATATATATATATATATATATATATATATATATATATATATATATATATTTTTTTTTTTTTTTTTTTTTTTTTTGTATGCAA